GGGCATGAGTGACCGTGCGTAGGGCGTCCCGGTCCAGAAACGGCCGCAACTGGCGAATCAGGCGAACCTGATAAAACGCTCCCCTGGTCACGGCCGACAACTGGTCGTCCAATGTCAACCGTGAATCCAGGAGAACACCCAAGTTGCGGACCCGATCTGAGGGGGCCAAAGTTTCGCCCCCTATAGTCAGCGATGGAATGTGTTCCATCTGAATAAGGCTACTTATTATCTCATTGTAAGATACAGTGTAACTCAATGTAGACCAGGTCAAATCCATTCCTCTTTTTTAGATTAGATTTAGATTATTTAGGTTATTATTTTAATATAATAAATAGTAGATGTTGAATAATAAAGGAAGGAAAATGGTTTGGTGGTTAAAAAATAAAGGAAATATACCGAATGAAAAATGTATGGCACTTACCTGGACACTAACACTACCCTGCAGCTTTAATTGAAGTTTGATCATATCAACTTCAGTTGATGAACAAAGTTGCCGGAGTTCTGCATTTTTTTTATTCATTTCATCAATGGCTACCTCAATAGGATTTAAATCTTTGTATTGTTGATACATTATGGGAATCCGTTTTTTTACATATGGAAAACAATTTATAACTAGAGACAAAAAAATAATTAATATGATTAAGTATGTGGTTAATTTCAATCACAAAGTTTTGAAAACAAAACACTATTTTTTAACTGTTAATGTAATTCTTTTTATATTGGAACTAAGTAGATTTTGCCTAAAATGCACATTCTAAAAAAAAATCACCACTTTGGAAATTAGTGCTTCTTTTTGTGTCACCTCTGCAGAAAATCCTTAACACAGCTATCCCTGAATAACAATTAAGTATCAACAAATGATGTAATGCTTTTTTAAAAAATCCACTCCTTATTTAGCTTTTTTCCCATGAAAAGTGCTGCTGCTAGATTTCAGATCCCAGTTGCAAAATGATGAAACTCCAGGTAAAAGCATTTAAAAAGCTATGGTGATGTCAAAAGGATCTTATAAAAACATCATGATGCCATCATACAGATGCCCATATAAATGCCCTTGATCATGTAATCCCCTATAACGTTTCAGCTATATACTGGATACCAGATTATTTCTTGGTGTAATTATATCCTTTAAGGTCACAATAGCTGTGACTAAAGTAATAAAAAAAAGTCTCCTTCCATGTTAGTCTGCATATTGTAAGATGAATCTATTGTACAGCACTCTGAGTCAAAAGGACTAGCATGAGAAGATTATAATCCTACTTTTCCTAAAAGGTTAGATTGCTTTGTTTTTTTCTTTCTTCTATCAACGCATATGCATTTCTTTTTAAAATTTTTTTTATTCTACTGCTTCTAAAGTGTATTTTTTTCCTGTAGGCCTTATCCTTTGTACTTCATGGTACTTTTTTCTGATCAATTAATTTTTCTTGATTTTACTGATGTTCATTTCACTAATTTTTCATTTTTATTTCTTGAATTGTTTTTTCTACATTAATTGATTTATATTAATCAGCTGGTTCAAGTATAGTAAAAATTGAGAGCAATTTACAGATTGTCATCTAAGAAACCAGGATGTTTTGGTTTCTTGCTGTGAAAGAAACATCTCTAACGCTATCCAATCTTACTTGAGCAATCAATAATCATGGTGCAAGAGTAGTCATGAGTCAGCATATAAGCTGGCCTTGACATATTAGTAACTGAACTTATGGCAATTGAGAGGCAATAAAAACCAAGTGCTGTAGCAAAATCAGCTCTTTGTAGGGTTACATTTGTTTAAAAGGACAGGACATGAATAAAAAATGAGACTCGAGCATGCTTATAATGTGAATGTCTGACATATTACCATAAATCAAAAGGGATTTAAAAATGTGAAAAGACACAAAATAATCTTTTCCACTAGAATTGTTGCAAATGATGCTTTAATGCCTGGTTTAAAGAATCAGACCTTCTTAAGAAACCTAGGTAGCCTCTTCCAAAGAGAGAAAATCTGAACTATAAAATTCAAAATAACACTGTCGTGGCTTAGAACATTATAGAAGTAATCTGTATTTATCACAGAATGCTCTCACTACAGAGCTATCATCAATCCCAGCATTACTTTTAGTGAATGTATTGGGATGATAAAATACTATTTTCATAAAATGATACCTACTTTTGCAATTGTAAAGTGGTATTTTAAAGCATATATTATATCTAACATTGTCTGGTGATTTTTGCCTTGGGGGATTGGTACTAATTGTAGTTGCTATTAAATAACACATCTTATTAGCTCACTCCTTACACCCTGTTTGCACTGCCTCTCTAAGATCCTAATAAAACATGAACTACATTCATATTTATAAGAATGTGACTCTAATTTCCTTCAGGACTCCCAGCTAAACAGTTCAAAGTCAGCATAAAAGTAGAATAATGTTTACAGCATCTCCTGTATTAGTTTCCAACACTCATAAGTTTATACAAGTGCCTGAATAGAGTTAATATGATTGTTTCAATCCTACATATCCTTGGTAGAAAAAAAAAACCTATACCAATTTCCTGCAAAATGGAATTGAGAGTTGGTAAGACATAATCGCATCAAACCTTTAATAAGACAAGAGATTGCTGTAAAATTTGAGGGGAAGAAAATAAGTTCAGTTTGGAGGCGGGTGGGTGACAGGAGAAACAAGTGCTGCATTTTCTCTGCACTACCTGTAAGAATGATGCGTCGTTTACACTGCTCTTCCACTCCACCTCGTCTTTTACCCAGCTGAGTAAAAGGCATCTCAAACATAAATCGCCGGATGTTGTGATTTCTTTCAAACTCCGTTTTTCTCTCCTGCAATTCCTTTTCTTCAAAGTATGGAACTACATGTGTAACTTGAATATAAGCATATTTTGAGTCCAAATCCTTAGGATTTACCTTCAAAAATTGTAGATAATACAATGGTGTTATGAATATATAATTGGTTATTATTTTAAGGCTTGATGTAATACTTTCACGACAACTAAAAACATACTATTTTGTGGGAAAATTGACATAAAAACTTTGACATATTCAGTAGTACTACTAAGCTCAGCCTAGCTTTATTACAATCATTGAACCAAAGTCTTATTTTATTTTATTTAAGCAATAGCAACAGAAGATATGGTTCAATTTATTTATTAGGTTTACTATATTTAGATTTTGTTACAGCTTCTTCAGTTCTTAATAAAATAATATGTAGTCCTACTTTGTCAGAATCCTGGATCATCCTGACATTTTCAGATCCAAATTTATCTGAGTAGAGCTTTTGTAGCCTCTGGGAAATTTCTGAAAGAGATGTGAGCTTAGGTTCTTTGTAAATATATTCTTTTCCATCCTCATCTTCAAAGAATCCCTTTAGAAAAAAAATAACACAGAATAGTTAAATTCTGATCATATAAATATTCAATATTTAATGCAAAGTCAGTCTTTAATGTCAAGGATGAAGGAAAAAAAATATTGAAGAATATAAAGCAGTGAGAGTGCATTAATGAATACACACCACTATGTAGTGAATGTTGTAATTATATGTGATGTTAAGGTTAATGTTTTCAGGAACATACATTTTTTTCAAAACATTGTTCGTATGCCTGTTTCACATACCAAAGCACTAGCCCATGCTTAAAATGTTTATGTTATTTTGAAGTTTCATCACGTCATGCAGTACAACCCAAGTTAATTTTAAATCAAGGGTTAATTTAACTGAATTCTGTCTTATTTTTAGGAAATGCTATAGATCATCATTGTTCACATACATGTGATTTATTTATTTATTTTGAATAGGTTCCATGGAAGGTGAAACAGGTATTTTCATCTAGAAAGCCGATCTATTGTTTTATAAATTACAGAAATAAATATCTGTATTTGAAAATGAAATGGTGCAGGGAATACAACATGGAATGTTTAAAATGCAGACTAAATTGACAACAATATCCACACCAGACTAAGCTTGTATGCAGTAATTTTTACTGCACTGCTCACTTTAAAAACCAATATTTGTAATTACCTCCACATCTGTTTCACTGTCTGTAAACTGGTATTGCTATAGTCATAAGAGACAATAGAATAAATGGAGCGTTATATGTTTCAGTCCTGTCATAATTTAATTTCTATCACCAACACACATTTTTCTCCAATGTGCACATATATTTATATACACAATTTACTTTATTTGGTTGCAAAGGAAATATATATATATCACGCTAAATTTGTGAGTATGCCTAAGTACAGAGACATGTTTTCCAAGTGAAATTATATATTTTCATAAAAACAGAGAAAAAAAACTTCTCCAGATCAGAACACCAAGTAATATGTTTAATAATTTTATATTGATATTATTAGAAAACTTACCGCTGCCTTAAGAAAGTAATCATAAAGAAAAAAGAAAAAAGCATAAAGTTTACTGATGAAAAGATTGTCCTTTCCAGAATACAATTGTTAGTTCTATACACATTAATTGAAAGTACATGCAAATAGAAAGAGACACAACAGATTTTAAAAGCATGCTGTTATGATACAGGTAGACTTTGCTTAACAACTGCCCTGTTGTTTAGTGACCGTTCAAAGTTACAATGGTGCTGAAAAAGTAACTTTACAACCAATCCTTTACAACCATGTTCATGATCATTGCAGTGGCCCTGCAGTGACATAATGAACATTTGGGCACTTTACAATCAGCAGGAATTTACAACCGTCGCAGAATATCGGCAGACATGTGATTGCCACTTGTGCACTTCACAACCAGCTTCCAACAAGCAGACTCTCTGGTGAAGTTGGCAGTAAAATTGCAAGTCACTCTCATGTGTTGTCTCACTTAACAACTGGGGTGAGTTGTTTAACGACTGAATGAGAAGTGACAGATGTCCATCACAATCATATCATGTTTCATTTAGCGACTGCATCGCTTAGTGATATAGTTGCCAGTCTCAATTGTGGTTGCTAAGTGAGAGCTACCTGTATATTGCATTCTTTCAGGTGTTTAGTTGGTACTGTAGCAAAGGCTACAGCAGAGAGTGCTCACCTGTCCGAAAAAGGCAACTCTGAAATACGTTCCCAACAATCTCTTTCCTGTGTGCATAACTTCGGTAACTTTGCTATATGCCCGGTGCAATGTGTCATAGAGATGAGCTAACTTCTAAAAATAGATGGAAAATGTTTTTGTAAATAAAGACATGAATACATTTGGGTTATTAGAAATAGAATAAAATGAATTATTTACTTAAGTTTTAAAAATTCAAAACCAGGTTTTCTTAAAATAGAACAAAAAAGGGTTTCATGTTAAATTAACTTTTTAAATTACTAGCAGTGATGTCTGTTGAAAAACCCAACGTTCCCAATTTCATTAAGTTAGGCAGGACTATATAGAAACTGAATAAATTAACTGTAATCACCTCAAGTCTATAAAGATGTATAGAAAAAGATAGTCCTCTTAATATGAGTTTGATAGTTGAGATAGTCCTCAACTTACAACCATTCATTTGGTGACCATTTGAAGTTACAACGGCACTGAAAAAGTGACTTATGACTATTTTTCACACTTATGACCATTGAGGCATCCCCACAGGCACACACCCAAAATTTGGATGCTTGGCAACTAACATGCATTTATGACAACTGCAGTCTCCTGGGATCATGTGATCACCTTCTAACAAGCAGAGAAGCCAGATTCACTTAACAACTAACTTTATGACAGCAGTGATTCATTTAACAATTGTGGCAAGAAAGGTCATAAAATGGGGCAAAACTCACGTAACAATTGTCTTGCTTAGCAATGGAAATTTTGGGCTCAACTGTGGTCATCAGTTAAGGATTGCCTATGCACACATTTGGAGGGTGGGGAGATTGGTAGCAATATGCAAGTGCCATTTTTATTGCCTTCTTTCAGGATTTTTTTTTTCTCTTTTCTTCTTTTGTTTATACTTCCCAGTCTAATGTACAGCCCTGGTGTTTCTCTTCAAGTACAAGTAGTCCCCAAGTTACAACCCTAATGGAGTTCTGCTCATTAGGGTCTGAGGACAAAACAATGTTAAATGAACTGCCTCGAGTAACAACCAGAAGACAAGTAGAGTGCAGCTAGGACTTAAAAGTCTAGTCCAGGGGTAGTCAACCTTGGCTCTTTTATGACTCGTGGACTTCAATTCCCAGAATTCCTGAGCCAGCTTAGCTGGCTCAGGAAAGAGCCAAGGTTGACTACCCCTGGTCTAGCCCATTGTTTCTCAATCTTGGGCATTTTAAGATGTGTGGTCTTCAACTCCCAGAGTTAGCAAAGGGTCACCACCTCCAATATGCACTACATAAACATGACAACATAAAATGGCATATACCCACATACCCACATATATTTTATGACACAGAGAAGCTTTGCTTTGCAGGGTCCCCATGGACAGCTAATGGGCGGACCGCTGAACAGCAGAGAAAGTTCTGCAAGCAGCCGCCATTTCGGTAAGAATTGTGGGGGTGCTGCAAAGAGCGACTGCTTCTAGGAGGCATGGGAAACAGGGGTAAGCACTGCAGGGGATGACCCCAATCCTCAGTAGATTTTTTTAGGGTGTTGTATAGCATGATTTAGCTATGTGATAACTTGCAGTACATGTTTTCTATCCTCATTCTAAATAGAAAAATAATATTGGCCTATTTTAAAGGGCATCTGAGATAACTCCTGAAATAGAAAAGTGTTTTTTACAGAAAGTAAAGAACTGGTTTTTGTTTTGTTTTTTCTTTGTTGACATAAGTGTTTCAGATTTATTTATTAGACTATGTGCTCAACTATGAAGCCAATCCATTGCCTAAGCAATGCAGGGGATGGCATTGCAGCATCCCCATGTTCTTTCAAAGTCTGGCATAACTTTGAAACAGGTTGGTGTGTAGTTCATTGTTTTGAACAGTTGTTTAATGGCCTGTCATTTCTCGAGGACTACCTGTATAACCAAATCTGATCCATGGTCAGCTAGTTCTCAGAACTAGGCATTATTTTGAATATACTACAACATCCCCCCAGAGATCCGGATTATTCCGGATCTCCCCTCCTTCCGCCGTGCCCTCAAGACATGGCTTTTCCATCAAGCGGGATTGGCCTAGGGGGGGGATTTTATAGGGATTTTAAAATATTAAACTTAATACAGGTTATTTAATATATATTTTAATTTGGCTTTTAGAGATATCTATTGCATTGTACTGTTTTTATTTACCTGTAAGCCGCCCTGAGTCCCTCGGGAGAAGGGCGGGGTATAAATGGGATTAAATAAATAAATAAATAAATAAATTAAATAAATTAATACCTCAAAATCTCTTCGTTTTTCATAAACAGGAATTATAAGTTTAAATATATCAGCAATCAGTTCATAACGTTCAGCCTTCCAAAGACCATCTGCACATTGTTCTAATAATTCCATCAATATTTCCTAGTTACAGAAAGGATGACAAGCAAATTGTCATTAATAGAAATTAAGCTTTACCAATCTTTATGAAGGAAAAATAAAATTATAGATGCAATTTTTATATTATTAATGAATTTATCTATCTCATATTTAAGCAATAGCAATATACAACAAATATTCTAATAAAATTTTGTTCCGATATTCAAGAAACAAACAGGAATGACAATTAATATTCAAAATGTATTTGATTTATATTTTTAACTCAGTTTGATCTTTGTTTGATCAATATAATGCAGAACATAACATTCAATGTTTTTATTTTAATGTAAATTAAAAGAATTTTCCATTTACCTCCGTTCCCTTAGAAACAGAATAGCAGAATCATAATTATTACCTATTAAATTAACTGATAACATTCCTAATAGTGAGCTTTCGTATTGGTTTATCATCAACTTGATATCAGTATTCCTAGAATACATACATATCTTTAATAGGGTCTAGAGTTCATGTGATTATCATAAGGTAAAGTTCATGAGTTAAAAATGGGCTCAGCAGAGTACGTGCAATAATTATCAGCTAAGCTAAGCAATTATTCCCTATGCTGCAAAATGTTTTAATCTGAAAATAATAAGCATAAAGATCAAATCCAGATATCTTTCTAGAATAGTTGATGGCAATCAACGTTATTTTCATGTAGGTAGCATGTTTACTTATTCATACAAACTATTTCTAGATCATATAACAGAAGCTGCTTTAAGTTAAAACATTTTTAAATACAATATAGCAAATCATGTTTGAAACTATATGCAGTTTTAAAAATATGGAAATGTGAAATTTTCATATTTCTTACAGGTTGCATTAGTCTTATCAAATCAGCTAATTAAATTAACATGATAGAAAATCATCAAGTCTTAGCTTGGTTCCTTTGTGGTTTCATTCTCTCAACTGTGAAATATGATACATTATTTCTTATATTTGGTAGTGAAGGATTTTAAGCTTGTTTTATAGTTTGTAAAAATGTGAGTTTTAAAAGATTTCACTGACTCTTTCAGAGTCTCTTTTTAATTTTCAAAGCGTTTTTCTAAAAAAAAGTTCCCTGACTTATGATTGTTTTTAGCAATAAATGTACAGCTTAGGAACTGTAATAAATAAATGAATTAAAAATGTAATGTTATTTGACAACTCTATTTGAGCTAGTCAATAAAACAGATATTTCAGATGTAGAAAACCAAAACTTATAAGTATCTATAAACTAAGTTTGCATACTTCATTAAAGTGAACCCCTTGCATTCCCACATCTTCCATCATTGAGGCCTCTTCTTCTATATTTGGAGTGATTACTCTGAAGCTGCTACAACCTTGTCTAAACATTCCTAAACGTATAGGAAAAACATGAAGAAAAATGCACAAATTAATCTTAAACAATTAGAACAGCAGAGAAAGTTCTGCAAGCAGCCGCCATTTCGGTAAGAATTGTGGGGGTGCTGCAAAGAGCGACTGCTTCTAGGAGGCATGGGAAACAGGGCTAAGCACTGCAGGGGATGACCCCAATCCTCAGTAGATTTTTTTAGGGTGTTGTATAGCATGATTTAGCTATGTGATAACTTGCAGTACATGTTTTCTATCCTCATTCTAAATAGAAAAATAATATTGGCCTATTTTAAAGGGCATCTGAGATAACTCCTGAAATAGAAAAGTGTATTTTACAGAAAGTAAAGAACTGGTTTTTGTTTTGTTTTTTCTTTGTTGACATAAGTGTTTCAGATTTATTTATTAGACTATGTGAAATATGATACATTATTTCTTATATTTGGTAGTGAAGGATTTTAAGCTTGTTTTATAGTTTGTAAAAATATGAGTTTTAAAAGATTTCACTGACTCTTTCAGAGTCTCTTTTTAATTTTCAAAGCATTTTTCTAAAAAAAAGTTCCCTGACTTATGATTGTTTTTAGCAATAAATGTACAGCTTAGGAACTATATTTGGAGTGATTACTCTGAAGCTGCTACAACCTTGTCTAAACATTCCTAAACGTATAGGAAAAACATGAAGAAAAATGCACAAATTAATCTTAAACAATTAGAGAGAGAGAATCTAAATCCCACAGATGAATAAAAATAGTCTGATAGCTATTGGTAAATAGTTCAGTTGTGAGTTTTGTATAATTGTGTCATGATATATTGAGAAAGCAGTATTATCAGATATTGGGAGTATTAAAACTATTTGTAATATTTTCTTCCAAAAAATGAGCAGTTCAACTGACTGCTGTTCTTGAAGACTACAAAACAGAAACATGGAATTAATTCATGGTAACAAAAACAGCAACAAGGAAATTTGGGCAAAGGGCCGACCTATCAGAAAGGTGTCTTGAGTCTCAAGCCGATTCTACAAGGATACCTACTAGTTAAGTAGCAGTCCATGATCTTTCAAGACTAAGACTGAACAATGGAAAGTCCTTTTATAAGATAGGCAATTTGGGAGGTGGGTGGTAGGTGGGCAGTATTAAGGTTCACGCTCACCCAGAAATACAGGTATTATAATGTTACTGTCATAGCCAGAACTGTGTGAATTGTCTCTGACATATCATGGAGTGGCTTTAAGCATTATGGCTGCATCATGTGGAAAATAGTTGTGAAAATAATGCCTCAGTTTCAGTTATTTTCCTCTAAATTTTATAGTTAAGTAAAGAGAAGCATTAAATTTTGGAGAATAAAAAAAGTCTTCTCCTCTCTTGCTCACTTTTATGATCTACACTTCTCCATTATCTTTGCCACAACTGCTGTCTAATCTGCTTTGACCTATATTTTCTTATTTTAATATTTTAATATACAGGTAGTCCTCGACTTACAACAGTCATTTAGTGACCGTTCAAAGTTACAATGGCATTGAAAATAGGGACTTATGACCCTTTTTTACACTTATGACTGTTGCAGCATCCCATAGTCACTTGATTTACATTCGGATGCTTCACAACAGACTCATATTTATGACGGTTGCAATGTTCAGGAGTCATGTGATCCCCATTTGCAACCTTCTGACAAGCAAAGTCAGTGGAGAAACCAGATTCACTTAACAACCATGTTACTAATTTAACCACTGCAGTGATTCACTTAACAAATGTGGTAAAAAAAAGTTCTAAAATGAGGCAAAACTCACTTAACAAATTTCTCATTTAACAACATAAATGTTGGGCTCAATTGTGGTCGTAAGTTGAGGACTATCTGTATAGGCTTCTCAGGGAATACACAGCCTAGGTTTTTACATATGGAAATGTGGCAATGTCTCAAAAATCACTAATCCTCACTAGATTCTTTAGGATGCTGTGTAGAGCGATTTAGCTATCTGATGACTTGCAGTCAATATTTTCTACCCTCATTCTAAATAGGAAAAATAATATTACCACATTTCAAAGGGCATCTTATATAACTGAAATAGAAAAGTGTGTTTTACAGAAAGAACTGATTTTTATTTTGTTTTTTTTCTATGTAGCCTTAAGTGTTTCAGATGATTAGGGGACTGGAGGCCAAAGCATATAAGGAACGGCTGCTGGAATTGGGTATGTCTAGTTTAATGAAGAGAAGGACGAGGGGGGACATGATAGCAGTGTTCCAACATCTCAGGGGCTGCCACAAAGAAGAGGGAATGAAGCTATTTTCCAAAGCGCCTGAAGGCAGGACAAGAAGCCACGGGTGGAAACTAATCAAGGAGAGAAGCAACCTAGAACCAAGGAGAAACTTCCTGACAGAACAATTAACCAGTGGAACAACCTGCCTCCAGAAGTGGTGAATGCTCCAACACTGGAAGTTTTTAAGAAGAGACTGGACAGCCATTTGTCTGAAATGGTATAGGGTTTCCTGCCTAAGCAGGGGGTTGGACTAGATGACCTCCAAGGTCCCTTCCAACTTTACTATTATTATTATTATAGATTTATTTATTACACTACATGATAACCTGGGTGCCGAAGTATGAAGTCAACTCATTTCCTATGGATACTATGTATTTTAAAAATAACATTTCCTAGGTTTTTTGAAAAGGCTGCCATGAATATAATAAACTAACATTCTGTATTATTTTTAATATATTTTAAAATATTTTACTGCCCAAAAATAACGATGCATACCTTTCCGTAGAAGGTATTCAGCCACCAAAGCTGCTACATGAACATAGCATATTGCTGCCTAGATTATGAAAAGAAAGGACAATAATGATAAATTCAGGATTGTAAGATTCAAGTAACGGAAGAGGCAAATGATGTTTAGCACTAAGCTATTTATTTGTTCAGGAACTTATTTCAGAAAAAAAAACACTATTTCCGTAGATAAAAGTTTGTTTTATGTTCTTCAAAGGCAAGTATATAGATAATGCAACTTTCTTCTTAAACTGAAATGAAGCTTCCCACATTTTAACATTCTTATTTAAAAAAAGATTTAATTACTTCAACTTTTTAAAAAATTATGAAACAGAACTATGAGATCACTTTAAGATATTTTCTTTTGGCTTACCTCTGAAAAATCTCCATTTTTAACATGAATTTTTGCCATGCTATCCAACCAGGTTTTCCTGAGCTCAGGCGTACTAGCGTAAGACTTGGCCAGACTATACTGAAGATCCACTAGCATTTCTGGATCATTTTCATGTTCTTTCATTTGTGCAGTAGCCATTAGGACTGTACGGATGCGTTTGGTCAAATCTTTTACATCAGAAGGAAAGGTAGTGTGCTGTAATTGAAATAATATGATAAATAATATGAGCACAAACAAGGGCCACAAAAGATGAGTAAACTGCAATGTACACATCCAATATAGATAAAAATCATCTTTAGGCATTTGCCTGAATGCATATAGATGAAAAGCAGAGGGAAGCTGGGTGAAAATGCTGGTTCCACTCCATACTCTATTCAACTTGCATGTGTTAAGTTGTACTCTGAAGAAAACAACTCTTTGCATGATTCAGAACTCTGCAGTACTAGAAATTCAACATGCAGATATTCTAAATACATTTAAGGGATTTCATGTAAAACCTCTCTTTGACTTCTTAGCTAACATTGTGGATTTCACAGTCTATAGAGACTCCTGCATTAAATAATCAGAGTTGTAAGTTCATTTACTATAAATTGGTTCACAAATCTTTATCAGAGTTACAGAGAGTCAGGCATTTGCAGCACTGAAATTTCAGCCAACAGTCCATATTCAGTATCAGACTTCAAGGGATGAGACTGTGAAATGTAAAGAATGATGAAACGGAACCTTGACAAGAACAAATTTATTTTTGAATTTTCTCACTGTTGGAGATATTTAAGGCTCCAAATGTCAAAGATTAACTTTGTCAATATGGTAAATTTTTCTCAGTAAGACTGAATTTCCATATGCAAAGTAGTTTTGGAGTCCATAGGATGTAGTAAAACTGACTGCACTGCTGTTGTTCAAGCTGATATATAGTAATTGATATAAACAAATTTACATTTCTAGAAGTCTTAGTGTGTTGCTTCCCCTCAAATACAAGAAGCTTAGACTAAAGCAAGCCAGTAAGAAGAAGTGCAACCATCTGGATAAAGGGGAATAAACTTCCAATAGCAGTTTGCAAGTTCCAAGTACCTAAGTAATGTCAATTGAAAAATTCTACATTCCACATTTTACAAACCTTAATATATTTGTCACTGTTTGCACAGTTATTAATAATGGAAAGGGACTGCTGAAATCTTGTTCCTCCAATTCCAGCAACATCTGCAATCAGCTGACTCACAGAAATGATAACCTATTAAGATGCAAAAGCACAATTTTGATTACTCATCAATATCCAAAATTCAAGAATTTGTAATTCATCTTATAACTTCAGCATGAAAGCATACAGTAAAATTTAAATTAGCAACCATAATTTTCCATACAAATATTGCTTTTAAAGCAATTTCAGCCAACAGCAACTGCTTTCAAAGAAATATTCGTACCAGAAAGTAGGGCATTTATTTTTTCCTGCTATTTAACATTTATTTTTGCAAATATCATTGCCACATTATCAAGTCATATCGAATCTTACTTACGGAAATTACAATTTAAAGACAGAATTTAAAAATAGATAAAATAAATTGATTTTCCAAATGATATGCAAGAAATTAAAAATATACATGAAGTAAAGCTAAGTAAGATCCTGGCCTGAATATATCTGACTATAAATGGTGAATGCCAAATATCAAAGTTGGGTTTCCTGCAATGAAATATCATAATGCAAAGCCTCCCTTCCATTCTCCCAAAAACCTCTGCAATCTTGAAAAAGAAATTGCATGATCACTAAAGAATCAAGTAAGGTAGCCTATGCTATACCACATAAAATCTATTCTGCAAACTGAATGTCAGTTAGCAAACTAAGTATCAAAATTACCCCAAATTTTTACAAAGAATGATGTAAATATAAAACTTAGTGCTTGATTAAGGATTACCCTTCAGTATTTGCTGTATATAACAGAGCAACATGTGATAGAAAGTGTGTCTGTTTTTATGTATAGATCTATGCATTATCTCCATTTGTTGTATGTACTTTAGTAAAGATAAACTCAGTTTAAAATCTTCAGAAATTTAAAGATAAACGTTTTTTTTGTTTTTTCTTTATGAAACAAGTGAAACAACACACTATACTAACCTGTAAATGTGTCCTTACAAATGATCTCTTTTTAGTATAATCAAAATTATTCTTCATTAAGAAATAAAGGAGCTGTGACGCTTCAGTTCGAATTGAACTTAGTTTGGAATTGCAGCACTTTAAAATTTCACAGCATAGTGAAGAACACATATCAGCTCGCCCTTCATAAAATGTAGAAGGGAACTGTAGAGCAGAAAAAAAACATTTATTCTGTTAAGACCAATTTAATAAAACTAGAATGAAATCAAATCTCAATCAAAATAACATGTTTTATATTTCTAAATGGACTTTCACGTTTACTAAAGTTGAGAAAATAAAAATGTGGAACATTAAACAGAAGAGAAATTAATTAGCGTTTAGCATTTAGGCTTATATATCATCCCATAGAACAGTGGTGGCGAACCTATGGCACGGGTGCCGGAGGCGGCACTCAGAGCCCTCTCTGTGGGCACGCGCGCCATCGCTCCAGTCCTAGGCCTTCAGCTGGGTTTTATAAAAGCTTTTTGCTTTAGGCCTCCGTTGCCGTGTAAAAAAAAAAAAGTTCAATCAATCAATCAATTTCAACTTCTCGTGAGAAAAAAAAAGATCTTGCAAAGTTGGAATTGATTGATTGAACTTTTTAGTCCCACCCAGTCTGTTGTTACCACCGTAGTCACGCCCACCCATTGGGCCACACCCACCCGGCACCCGATGATGCATAAGTGGGTTTTGGGTTCGCCATCACTGCCATAGAACTTTGCAGCAGTCTCTAGATGGCTCACAAGGTAGAAACATTATTTGCATACTTCCCCCAACAATCTGGGTCTGGTTATTCTGCCATCTAAAAGACAGAACTTGACATCTGGAACAGAAGTATCTTTTGATTTAACATGTAGATCTATGATATGAGGAAAAACACTGAACTGATTCCTAACATTTAGAGAAATAAATAAAAGGTGAAATCATACAGCAATCTAATATACATTATCAAGGAAATAAAATTCAAATGACTTACCTTAAAAATTAATGTCCTTAAAGCATTGAAAACATTTTTTAAAGCTGTTTCTGACTGATTCTTTTGTAGAAAGCAAATGTATACATCAAATACTTTTTTCATCAGAGGATTATGACCATCATCCTTCAGCAACTGATTCTTAAAATTAAGAATATGTGTATTTTTAAAAAATTGGAATTATTTACATTAAGGCATCTATATAGAGATCTGCTAATCAATTATCTTCACAAAGATCTGCATACAAAACTATTTCATAAATTCTTAATTACCACCATAAGCCAACTTTGCAATATCCTGATTAACAAAATACTGATATATTATCGTAACATTTTCAAAAACTTTATTTCTGACTAGATCCAGAGGAGTGTTCAGACTGTCCTTGACTTACAACCAAAATTGGGAGCAGAACTTCTGTTGCTAAACAATGCAGTTGTTAAATGAGTCATGCTCAATTTTGCAACCTTTTTGCTGAAGTTGTTAGGTGAATTTGTCTTCTATCATTGACTTTGCTTGTCAGAAGTCCCCTGGTTTCCAGTGGCAATCACATGATTTTAGGATATTGAGAACATTGTAAAGCACCCAAATTATGATCACAGGACCACAGGAATGCTGCAATGGTTATAAATGCAAGGACTGCGGGTTGTAAATAACTTTTTTCATCGCTATCATTACTTCAAATGGTTGTTAAATTGTTGTAAGTCAAGGACTACCTGTATATCAGCTTGTGTGTACCCAGTACTAGCTTTGATTTGTCTGTCTGAATAGCAATTTGACTTACTATGTGCCAGTGCACATAGCCAACATTCTTCAAAGCAGTTAGTAGTGGTAATTATATTAATAAATAGAAGCGTTGATTAATACATTAATTGCTAAAATTTCAGTTAACAGTGTGATTTTTATCGGATCTTCGAGAGGATCTTCAACATCCACAGGCTTTAAAATATTACATGGTATAACACAGAAACAAGACCTTTAGGAATACCAGCAAGGAAACCTAAACACAATTGTAAAAGAAAGTTCTGGAGCAGAAATATTTCTATCTATAAAATACTGTTTTTAATTTTTTTAGGGAAAAAATTAGTACACAATTGTACATATCTAAAACATACCTTAAATGCCACTGTGAACAAAGATAAAGTATTCAGAATCGTAAGACCCACTTCAGTGGCAATATTGGCTTCAAGTAAGGATTGGTGAAGAACATCTGCTTCTGAATGGCCATAACCTGCATAAATTTGACGTAGCTTTTATTTGGAACAATTTTATTTCAATTAAGTGGTATTTATGTTACAGAATAATAGAGCTGGAGGTATAAGTAGTAAAATTAACAAGATAATGCAGGTAATATAATGCATATAACATCCATTTACCTTTATTTCCATATTTTCCAGAGAAATTTAATACTAAAGGGAGCAATGTATTTATAGTTCCCTAAACAGTAATATATCTATTAATAATTCTAGATTACTTTGAGTTTTATATCTATCAGAAAATGTTCTCAAAAATTATGACCAATACTCAAATAGGCCCATAGGGATATTTCTAAATCTGTGGCTTGTCTTTTCTTTTTTATTTAACTAGAAAATGAAGAGTGGATAAGAGTTGAAGATTCAATATTTATTTGTTTATATACAAAAATCTTTTTGCTGCTCACAGCATAATTTTTAGACAACAAGAGACAGTCGCCTTTAGAAGAAAGTTTTAAAATTTTATTAAATTAAATTTATTAGTGTTATTAAGAAGCTTCTGAAGATAAACAATTTTACTTCAAATATTTAAATATATTTAATTATATTAAAGATAAAATGAAAGAAGAGTTGTTTTATTGTCTTGGGAAATATTAGCAATTGAGCTGCAACAGAGTTTGAGCAATTCTGGCCTGAGGGAGATACTGGTTTCATGCCTAAACATCTAATGATTAAGAATTACCTTGGGTTTTTTTTTTTACAAAGTTAAAGTTATTGCCTTATATATCATCAAAGCAATTTATGAAATGAGTTCCTATATTATAAATTCAATAGACCAAATCAATTCATTCATAGATTTATTTACTCATTACTGCACTTGAACTTAATGGCCACAGAATACTAATACTTTATTAAGATACTGAAATAAACAAGTAAAATATAGCACAGATTAACAACATAGTTTATTCAATTAATATGCATATAAAAATAAAAGAAAAAATGCAATTCTCCAAGTTGGCAAACACAAAAAGTAAGCCTTTTTATGAGCCATGTGATTATATTTGGCATTTTTAAAGAGAATCAGACACAACAAGGTTCTGGATTCTGTCCTAGTCATAGAGTTGCTTCCATAGGATCCATCCAGAAAAAAAAATATGGTACTGCTCCTGTTTGCTATCTCCCTCTGCATTTTTCCCTTTTAGGAACAGAGAAAGGCTTAAGTACAAAGAAACAGACAGCAGTGAAGTTTATTCCTACTTGATATTATTACAGGTATTGTGTGAAACCTTCGTTCATCAAAAACTATGGTTTGATGATATCCATACTACATGAAAAATTACATTTTGGATTGTTGAAAAAAAGGAAGGTAAAGAACATAAAATGTGAAACGAAATAAATACATTAATTTCAAATACAAATATTAATGAAACCTGAAGCCTTTTTTTCTAGGTAGTATGGATAAACCAATAAAAACAGTATGGGACACTGTTTCTTAACATGGTGACCGCTGAAAGGATTGTTTATGGTAAGCATTAGAAGGAAAAGAGGACAGCGAATATTGAAGAATGGATTTTAAAAGTGACAATTAGCAGAGATGGCAAAATTAACTGCTTTGATTAGAGACAATGGATTAGACAAGTTTACAAGAGACGGAAGCCATTTGTGGACTTTCTATGTGTTAAATACATAACAGATGGTTAACAGAGGGATTTGAAGATTAGTTTTATCTTTGGGATTACCTGTTGACTGTTTCTGTACACACGTACACACGTACATACATACATACATACATACATACCTTTCTCCCATATTTGGGTCGACAGGGTGCATCAAAAAGCACTCAAGGTAATACATACATACATACACACACACACACACACACACACACACACACATACATATATATATATACACATACATATAAACATACATATACACATACATATACGAGGTGGATTTTAGATATATTTGATATTTGGGGTGTTTTGTTTTGTTTTGTTTTTGAACACATGGTGTTTTGCTCTTGGTGTCAGATGTTAGGGTTTTTTTCTTTTTGTTTTGTATTTTATCTTTGGAGACATGTTAAAAGAAATAAATAAATAAATAAACAAAAATATAGATGAGTTATATATTTTGAAACTGAAAGAAAAAGCATGATAATATAACATATAAACCTAATATGTTGATTTTTATGAAAGATTGAAAATAATCACTGAAGTATATGGTGTAATGAAAAGCTTTGAATATGGAACACATCACTGTTTAGTAATAACAAAAGTGGATCATTAGGTCATTGAGACATATGTAAATGAAAGTTTATTGTAATATCATTTAATTTGTCATTAAAATGCATGATAAAGGAATGACACTTGAATTATAGAATATTTTGTTCAAAAAGTGTTGAAAATTGATTGCCGAATATGATCAGAGCAGTGTACAACAGTAATTATGCAAGTGTAAGAATAATTGGACTGCTTACTAAACAGTTGAACAATGATGTCCCTTTAGTGGTTTATATCTATGACTAAGTGTTTAAGGATGTCTACAATGACAGTAGGATGTGAATGTATATGTTTGTACAGATGCCTGTGGTTCACAATTGTTGTGAACCACAACAATTTGCAGTGAAAGTTAGCAGATTAGAACACAATTAATGTACTGAAGAAAAAGAAAATGTTTGACAAAGAAAATGAGGTGAATAAAATAACAAGTTGCATATAATGGCACAAAATCAGATGAACTGTGTATCTTGCTAACATCTGTATACTACCAAAAGTCTCCTCTCTATTTGTAACCTTTAATTAGTTGAAACTGTGCATCATTAGGCAATAATTTTGAAGCAAGGTACTTTATATGGTACTTAATAAACACATCCAAAATCCAGAACCCATTACTCCTGTGGAACTGAAATTTTAAGGATCTTCAGAACAATTGCATTTGCAAACTTGTGTGGGCTTTCAACATATCCTTGCAGCTTTCCACAAACAAAATCAGTGAGGATGCCAGCAGGGTGTTGGAAGTCTCTCCCTCCAGAATGGGACAACTTGCTGCAGCCAACTCACCGTGGGACAACTTGCCCCAGGACAATTCAACAAATACAAAATTAAGTAATTTCAGTGGAACCATGGCCATTAATAATAAAATTAAGTCAATCCAGAAATAGAAGAGTTACAATAATTTCAATGAAAATATGATCATCAATGATAAAAGTAACTGATGAAATGATTGAATTATCCCGCAGCAAGTTGCCCTAGACCAGGGGTAGGCAACCTTGGCTCTTTTATGACTCGTGGACTTCAACTCCCAGAATTCCTTAGCCAGCATGGCTCAGCTTGGAAACTTCTCCCTTTCCCCTCAGCATGGCTGGCTCAGGAATTCTGGAAGTTGAAGTCCACGAGTCATAAAAGAGCCAAGGTTTCCTACCCCTGCCCGAGACTCTCTTGCGCGTACACTGGGTTTTTGCCTACCCATGGTCATTCTGTTTCTATTTAGGGAAGGGAAGGAAATATCTCTGAAAGGATGACCCAAACACAATGTCTTGTGTTTACTAAAGATGGAAAAATTAGGAAATTTTAAGACATATACATTCCAGTAGAGAAGAAAGCATCTGTTCCAAAGAATATAACAATATAAAAAGAGAATATTTGTAGTTCAGGGTTGAAATGAGAAATCCTTGATGCTCTCTGAGTGTGGTTGTTTTCTTGCAAAGCTTACTCAAACTAGGTAACTAGACAACTAGTTACCTAGTTTGGGTAATGAAACCCTTGAAGAAAACAACCAAGTTTTGAGAGTCCAAGTACCCCTCAATATAAAAAGAATTTTAAAAAATCTCTGTTTTAAGAATATGCTTCTGCTGATTTTATTATATGTTAGAATTGGCTATGGTAAAACAAAATGTTCAGTTGAATGAAAAGGAAATGGCATATTTGTGTGTGAAGAATAACAAATAGATGTCAAGAATCTTCTCTCTGTTTTGGTGATTAGGACAGATGCTGTGTTCCAGCCTCCTGTCTTCTGGCCCAATGTCTGGTCATCAGAGCCTCAGGGGCTATCACAGTGATGGCGAACCTTTTAGAGACTGAGTGCCGAAACTGCAACCCAAAACCCACTTATGTATCGTTGGGTGCTGGGTGGGCATGGCCAATTAGGTGGGCATGGTCCATTGGGTGGATGTGGCTGCGGTGGTAATGGCAGACTGGGTGGGACTAAAAAGTTCAATCAATCAATTCCAACTTTGCGAGATCTTTTATATCCCCTGCAAGAAGTTGAAATTGATTGATTGAACCTTTTTTTGTTTTTTTGCACACGGTGGTGGAGGCCTAAAGTGAAAAGGTTTTATAAAACCCAGCTGAATGCCTAGGACTGGGGTGAAGGCGCGCGTGCCCACAGAGAGGGCTCTACATGCCACCTGTGGCACATGTCATAGGTTTGCCACCACGGGGCTATCACTTTCTGGCTGCTGTTGTTAAATGCATGGTCGGTCTATAATAAAATTCCACTCATCCACAACCTTACCATTGGTGAAAGGGCATGTATTAGTGATACCTGGTTGGGCATGAAAGGGAGAATGCCCTTGTTAGAAATGAAGTAGGGGCAGTAGTATGGTAACTGTCATGTGACAGAGAGTAGTAGCATCCAGGAGCATTGCTCTCCAGTTAACTGTAAATGAAATCCTGTTTGTGAAGTTAGGCTCCAGGATCATACCAGACTCCCTCCTACATAGCAGCTCTCTACCTGAGCTGCTTGATGAAGTTCCCAAATGTAAGGCACAGGGGAATTTCAACTTGGTCCAAATTACCAAAAATCTGACTCACAGCAGGTTCATATACAAGACCTGTTTTTGTCTCGGGTTGATGGCAAACTATCTGAAAGTGGTGGATGTTATTATAAGTTTCCTGTCATGGTCTGATTACTCTCTATGGATCTTGAAGTTCTCTCCAGCAGCATACCAACACTGTGAGAAATGATCTATTCAATCAGTCTATCCCAGGTGCCTGATGGATGTAATTGGGTTTCAGAGGAACTTTTGGGTTGTTTCTGAGCATTCGGGTGCACGATTCACCTAAGGCCTTAGTCTTTGCCTGGAATGAGAATATGACAAAGGCCTTCAAATAGAACACATGTATAAGAACTCTGTGTATATGTATCCTGGAGTGCCTCCTGGTTTTCAGAAACATTCTGGATGACAAAGCAGCATAAGAAATCCCTAGAATGCCCCAAGCAGGAAAATGAAGTGTGAACTCAACTAAACATAGTAAAAGCCTTTCTTAAGGCTGATCTTGTGGCAATAAAAGCAGCAAAACATAATTATTCGTCCATCCTCATTTCATCTGCAAAAAACCCTCTGATGGTCTTGTTTAAAGTGACCTAATTCCTCCTGGCCAAAGAAAACAGAGAACACATAAGAGATATTGTGAGGACTATTCCAGGCATCTGTTGAATAAAGTTGCTTGGATTTTCTCACACATAAAGTCCTATGGAGCTGACTGAGGCATAGTCTTGTTTGGTTACTGCGGACGAGTTTGGCCTGATGAGTTTTAAGACTATGAGTTCAGCTACCTGTAGTTGAGATCCATGTCATTTCTAGTTATGTTTTTGATAGTTTTCTTCTTTTGAGATTGGTTCCAATTGGTGTTGGTAACAGTAGGGAGAGATGTAGCCATAGGTTTTTAAGAGATTGGACAACCATTTGTCTGAAACGGTATAGGGTTTCCTGCTTTAGCAGGGGATTGGACTAGAAGACCTCCAAGTCCTTTCCAATGCTTTCCAATACTCTCTGCAGTTACCATTAGGCTCAACTGTCTTGCCCTCCTTTTCAACATCCACATGAAACTTTCAGTGAAATCATCAAGTAGAACAATATTCTGATGCATTCAATTGCATACCTCTGTTTCAGGCAAATTAAGTAAACTCTGAACTTGGTTATTTGTTTGCAGATGTTTTAGAATAGTCATTGCTGTTGGCACTGATGATGTTACCTAGTTGGGTAATGAAATGTCAACAAGCAAATAACCAAGCTCAGAAAGCATCAAGGACTCTACAATTCAAACCTGAGCAACATACATTCTCTTCTGTTGCAACTCAGTGAAGCCACTGAGTTTATTTCCCAATGTTTAGAAGTTGTGAGGGTCTGAATGAGGAGGCTGCATCTCAACCAAGACAGGAATAAATAGCTATAGGCTTTGAGGCCTCCTGCATCCATAGAGATCCATATATCTTTTTTTTAATGGGATGGTAATATTCCCACTGACTCTCTGTGCAATTTAGGGAATCCTCTTAGATGCATGGCTCCTATGAGGAGCAGGTGGCAGCTGTGGCTAGGAAGGTCTTTGCCCAGATCAATCTTGTGTGCCAATTGTGCCCAAGTGGTCCAGAATGCAGTGGTGTGGCCAGTTTGAGATGTTCTAGAGTACATTATTGTGATATCTCTGCTCTATGAGCTGTATTGTGATATCTCTGCTCTATGAGCTGTGCTCTATGAGTTATGTTCCGGCTGCAATTCAAGAGCAGTGTGTCACCTATAAAGCCCTGATTGGCATAGTGTTGAGTTATTTGAGCGATCCCCTGCCTCCAATTGTTTCTGCTAATCCTGCCAGAACTGACAGAGTAGGCATGCTCCAAGTCCCTTGCTTAAAGCAGAGTCATCTAATGCAGGGGTCCCCAACCCCCAGGCCATGGCCCACTACCGGGCTTCGAGACTTTCGAAACTGGGCTATTGAAGTGGTGGGGGATGCGCCCCCAAGTGGAGCTGTGCATGTGCGCTTGCCTATTGCTTGCATGGAAACATCCCCCCCGCCGGTCCACAAAGTAAAAAAGGTTGGGGAACTCTGATCTAATGGGATCCAGCAAATGTGCTTTATTTGTTATAGTGTCTGCCCTATGGTATATCATTCCACTCAGAAATAATGTGGACCATTACGAAGAGTATATACATATGATTTGGTCATGCAGAAAGAATGATCAAATTGCAGAAGAAATGTATGAATGGATGGAAAGGAAAAAGAAAACTAAGAAAGGTAGATTTTGATAGAAATCCTCAAAGCAATTTCAGTAAGAAGTTTGAAGAATAAAAGCAGGACATGGACATAGTGAAAGCAAGGATAAGAATAGATAGATATGAAAAAAACTATCAAAGGATGTAAGTCATTTTTAGCTAGGTTTCATTTTCTTTTTCTACATCCTGGCCTTTAATTTCTTTTATTTTCTATTTCTTCCTCTGTTTCTATATTTTGCTCAATGCTGTGCACTCTAAGAGGGAATAGTGACAGAAATATATGATTTATATTTGTGTGTGTCTATGAGTATATATACATACATTATTTCAGCAAGTTGCCTGATCTTGACTTGATGTTTTATTTTAGTCAGAAGATTTAATTAAAACTAAAACTAAAATTTTAGGTTTAGAAAAACTTTAAAAATTAAATTTTAATAAATTTTAATGAGAAGTTTGAATAATAAAAGCAGTATGGGTTCATAGTGAAAGCGAGGATAGTTTACAATGATAGATAGATATGGAAAAATCTAGCAAACAGTCTTGGTATAAGCCACTTTTAATAAGGTCTCCTTTTCTTTTTCTAAACTCTGGGTTTTAATTTCTTTATTTACTATTTCTTCCTGTTGTTAATACTCTGCTCAGTGCTGTATACCCCGAAAGTGAATATGACAGGAATATGAGTGTGTAAGTTTGGATGTCTATGTGCATATATGCATATGTTATTTCAGCAAGCTGCCTGTTCTTAACCTGATATTTTCTATTGTTAAAAATTGTCCATTGAATGCTCTTCTTACTAATAAAATTGAATTATTTCCAGAGATGATTATTTCATGCCGTTTCAACAAAATCTGACTGGAACCTCATTTTCTTACCATTGTCTACAGAAATTCCAAGCAAACTTGATATTTTTCTCACACTGAAAACACAGAAAAAGTCACTTAATTACTGTGTGCTTCTTCACATCCAAACTAAATCATGGACTTTACATTTTCATAGTATTTTCAAACTACTGCAAAAGGTTTCTCTTAAACTTTATGTCAAAACATGGTCACATAATCAACTAAGCACATTTCCCCATTTTAAGAGGACAAACTGTAAACTGACACAATTCCCAGCAGCATTGGACACAATAAAAAGCTTTCAAGGTGAACACCACAGAATGTAAATGCATAATTTTCACATCTGTAAAGAGTATTTTGATATGTATGTATGTCAACCATGTTTAACATTGTGTTTGCATTTGATGTTACTGCTGTCCAGTGAGCAGATTCATGTTTTGGTTTGATCTAGAAAACTAAAGTCCATGACATGCTCTGGTGTGGGTTTTGACCTGCCCTGGTGTTGTGGTACCAGATGAGATTTCAGCTGTTATGATGTCATGGAACTTACTGTGGCTAAATGAGAGAGAGTTATCCAGGCTGCTCAGCTGCTGTAATCTGGCATGCATCATCCCTGTTCTGTTACGGGAAACAGGCAATGTCTGAGATTTTCGATCATGAACTATGGGTCCCAACCCCTCCTGGTTCCTGCAAGATGAGTGAAATTGGACAGAAGCAAAAGTTAAACATGTTGCACTGCAGCATGAGAGGGAGAGAGTTAGTTAAGCAGCTCAAGCAAAAAATTCCACTAGAGAATGAAAATTCAAAGTAGCGTATTGTGTTTTGAGTTAATGATCATGTGAACAAATCTAGCCAGCCAAAGCAATTATATATGGCCCACACTATATAGAGAATGTGGCCCATACAATTTAATTCCTAACTGGAAATGTTGGATGGTCTTTTAAAGTTTTTAAATGTTGGATGGTCTTCATATAGTCAGCCACGGTAGTCGTTAAAACCAGACTCAGTCAAAAAGGATTAACTGTCAGTCAGCCCTGAGCTGTTTTGCACTGATTAGCACAAATAAATATTTCGCAAGCATTGCAGGGAGTTGTTTACATGTAAAAGTTAAAATATATTGTGGGTCATACACATTTGTGAAAAGTTAAAGGAAAGTCAACAGGTCTTTAATAAGCACACATGCAATTAAAGCAGAATTATGTGAAAAATGCAAACACCTATATCTTACCAGGCAGGAAGGGAGTAGAGCCATATATTTTGTTAAACTTGCCAGCAATCAAATGAAGGAAATAAGAAAATGATCGGAGTTAGCAATCAGACTAACCTCCTAATGTGTACCACCACCAGAGCTGACAAGAAACGAAAACCAATACCAGAATTACACACTTCTCTGTTATTCTAACTATAGGGTGTGTAAATGTTGCATGCAATTTCTTTGCTAATACATTCCTTTGGTGCATTTCAATGTGTAGAGTTAATATTTACTTGTGAATTTCTTTCAACCCCACAAAAATCAGAAACATGCATGTTTTTAATTTTAATTTCAATATTATCACATGCTGTCTGGATATTTTCTGTGCAATAGCTGTGCAATTACTGTAATTAAATAAATTATTTTTTTCCTTTTTGTAATAGAAGAACAGATCAAGGGAAAGATTAGCTAGAATTCACAGAAATTATCATTATATTTTAATATACAATATGATAATGCTATAATTGCAGTGATTCGAGTCCACTGTGTCCTCACCCCAAACTTTATCAGCACTAACATTTACAGACCCAATTTTCACGATCAGGAAGTCTGAAGTCCGAATGCAAATCTGTTATCTTGAATTTACAACTTAAGATTGCAGGTGAAAGCTCTAGTGTTCGAAACCATAAATTATTTATTTATTATTAAATTTATATGCTACCTATCTCAATATTCAAAATGGCTTACAATACTAGACTGTAAATGATGGGTAACCTAAACATACTGCAAACATATTTCTTGGATGGTCTACACCTGCAATCTGAAGTGATACTGAGAATTTGACATTTCTGCAATTTCATCAAAAACAGGCTTATGAAGCAGACAAACATAATTGAAAGGGACCCAGTATTTATTAAACCCAGTGCCTATTTTCAAATAATAATTAACTTCAGAAAACAGTAAATTCTTGCATCTTTATTCTTCCTCACACTTGCAAGAAATTGACATTTGTGTAAAGAAAAAAAATCAGCAAAAATTCAGATAGGATTGTTTTAAATGTATTTGAGCACAAGAAACGAAAAAAGAAAGAAAACAATGCATGTTTGTATTCAGTGTATCTAAACTAAGTCCTTAGAAAGTGGAGTGGGCCCTCTCCAGTGTCACTGTCAGTTCCATCAGTTCCCAGTTGGGTCACTACCAATGAGATGGTAGGAGGTTGGATATGAGAGAAAATCCAGGCTCCATTGAGTAAGGGGGTATTTCCATTACTTCTGAAGAAGACTGGTGTGCCCCCTGCTCAAGAAGCTGTTGTTCAATCCAACTGTTTTGGGCAACTTTTGATGTGTCTGCAAGTAACAGGTTCATTCCAAATTATCCGAGGAGGCTACTTTTTCAACATTAAAATGCTCTACTATTTTATTTAATTACTTAATTAAGTAAACTTAATTAAGTAAACTTAATTAAGCACAATCAGCCTTAACCGTGGTCAAGAATGGGAGACATATATGATGATTCTCTCAGACTTCCTACAGTACTAAGAAAATACATAAAGCAGAATGAACAATTCAGGTATCAAATGCTGTATTAAAATATGCTACTTTCCTTAGCCAAATATTCTGTAATCTCTACAGCTATAATAATTAACACAAAATTCTATGTCATCAAAAAATGTCAACGTGGAACAGAAATACATTCAGAAGTCACAGATAACTAAGTCTAATTACTTACCTTTCTTGATATACATTTTCCCTGATGATAAATAGATGTTAGTCAATCATCAAGATTTTAAAGCATTCTGTTGCAATAAAATAACACACTTAACTTATACACATTACCTAGCAATGTATCGCTTCCCCATGTACTGAAATTGATGCAAGCATACTCTGCAAAGAAAACAGTAAGAATAATTATAGATGTTATCTTCAAATATTAAATGTTAGCCATATACTGTAATAAGGATGCTTTATTTCTGGGCCGATGGAAGAAACCAGGTACAAAAAATGAGACAGATTTCATTTGGTCTTCATCAGAGCTTCCCTTATTATTGTTATTCTTTAGGGATGGCTGAATGGATAAAGTCACTATTTTAGATTTCTGAATTAAGACTTCTTATAATCTTGCAAGATTTCCTGTAGACCCTACTGGAATTATAATAATAGTCAGTGATTATTAATTAAAATATTAATATTATAAGCTGCCTTTCAATAAAATGTTCAGGATACTTTATAGCTACATAAAAGTACAATAAAAAGAGGTGTTGACCTAAATGAAATTAATAAAAGGGGATCAGCAAAATGAATTTCATACTGAATTTCAGAAGGACATAGGCTAAAGGAGACTGATCATGGAAGCATAATGGAAAAACCAAAATGTAAGGTCAGAATGGAAATAGCACCGAGTAGAGAGCAAAGAAGAAATCATCCTGATTTAGTTAACCTAGTCCTGGTTAACTATCAACAAACTGTGCTAATGTTAGAGACAAGATAAGGAATAGATGATATGCTATCCCATGAATTTGAGATTACCTTATCATGTAGGTATTTTTATAACTGAAATGTTTATGATACTACAACATCATATACAATATTTAGAGAGCCAGTCTGGTATGGTAGTTAAGGTATCAGGCTAGAAACCAGAGACTGAGTTCTAGTCCCACCTTAGGCACAAAACTAGCTGGGTAACCTTGGGCCAGACACTCTCTCTCAGCCCTAGGAAGGAGGTAATGGTAAATCGCTTCTGAAAAAATCTTGCCAAGAAAACTGCAGGGACTTGTTCAGGCAGTCTTCAAGAATCGGACACAAATTAACAGAAAAAAGAAATACAATGTTTATCTTAAATTTTACATTTAAGATTTATATTGTGCTGCTAATAGGGTAACTATACGGTATATTTAAACTTACTCCGTAAGAGTAAAAAAATCCATAAGTTCTGATGTTGAGGCCTTGTTCCAATATGTAAACAGAGCATCTACAAAGTACAAGAAAATAAAACTGTAATTAGAGCAATTATCTTTAGATTTAAGGAACTAAAAAGAAGCTATAACTCTGCTACATAACGTGAATCCTCCTTTAAAAATACTTACTAATCAATTATGAATATGTATGTACAATACAGATACTTTTAATGAATAGTTAAGAACCAAATTCAAACCCTTTTCCAGAAACAAATGGAGTTGCCATACTACTGAAGACAGAGCAGAATTTATTACTGATTGACCAAGATCACCCATATTCCGAAACTGATTTATTTAACTTCATATTATTGTCAACCTCAAGCCTAAAGCACTTATTATTCAAAGTACTATAGAGGGGATATCCATGAATTAATGATTTATGTAGGAATACATATAAGTAGTGTTGGGAACTGTATGAAACATAGTTATAATAGTGACAGAATTATTAATTTTGATCCTGAGAATAATTTAAATTAAATTACCCTGGGGACTATAGTCTGGATGTCCCATGGATATCCTTGAATCTGCTTACCCTCAGCAACACTGAGAACTCAAATAGAATAATGGAGAGCAAACTGATGCAAACTGCTGCTATCCTAAATGAATAGACTTGAGCCATACTTTCAGACACACAGTAGATGCTCTAGTAATATTAGAATCTAGATATTCTAATATCTAGATATTTTGGTGCTGAGGAATTAAGTCACTCCAAATCTTCAAATTCTGCACTGCAATTGATCAGGAAGTAACCGGTACCAAAAATGAAGTTGAAAAAGTACCAGAGAAATAAGTATCACATGAACACATTTGTGTTTGTGTTTGTGTGTGTTGAGATGAGAAACTTAGAGCTGAGTGTATGCAGAGTTATAAAGGAGGGGATCCTTTCTTGCCCCAAACAGCTAATGCACAATTATCCAAAAGGTTATTCCAAAGGTACTATGAAAAATATAAGTTTCCTTTACCGTCTGTCATGCTTTTTAAAACATGAAGGAAGCACATCAGTAAACTCCTTATCTCAGCTTGATCAAGTTTATCACAACGAACAACTGAACTTCCTGAAATGCAAGCCTGCTGGTTCTGAAAAACAAGGCATATAAGTATTAACATAAAACCATAAATGCAAGCATCCCAATTTCTCAAAAAGAAGACACAATTGTATTCTAACACTCATATGAGAACAGTACAGATGATTACAAAATTCAGCATACCAAAAACTGGACAAAACTGAATTTTATTTTATTAGATGTTTATGTTTTTTTACATGTTTCCTACATCAAACTTCTTTAAATATAATGATATAAATATGTGATTGCATTTAATAATATGAGCAAGCTTTTCTGGGTCATTTTCCTATATTTGCAAGGCTGGGAACCATCCATCTATCATCCAGTCTTTGGATGTTCTTTCATATAAAATTTCAGATTTGTAATATTACCTTTTTATTTATTTTATTAATTTGTTAAAGCAATTTTTCTTTCTCCACAATCCTGTAGAGCTGAGAAACAGCCTGGCCCCTTTCCAGAAAACATTTTTAATTCCCTCTATTTCTTTTTCTCTACACCTTTGCCACATCTCTTTTTCTGTGTATCTGCTCGTCTTTCAGCATTTTTCTCTATCTCAAAGAATCAAGGCATGCAAGGAGGGACTGGTGTATCTAAAGAGGATGAGTGCCAATTTGATCCAAAGTCTAACAATTCCCTATCTGTAATCTATAGAGCGAGCTATAACTCAGTGTTTGCATATTTCATGTGTGGGATAAACTATGATGAGCTGTTAATTTTGAATTGCATATTTCAGTTGCAAAACCAGAAGTATATACATACAAAATACCAGTCAGTGCAGGATGGAATTAGACATTATAAACAAAGCACAGCAAAACATGATGAAGAACAGAAAGAATCCATCATCATTATTCACAAACATTGTAAGAAGTAAGATTTACTTCAGTAGGTAACTCAGAGATGTTCATAATACAGTGTAAAATCTTGCATCATGCACGATAAAGACAGTTTGACAAAATTCAGCTCAAGCATATATACTTTTAAATTAATATATTTAGAACAAAGTTTTTCAATCCTTCATTTGTCTCCCTTCATGAATTTGGATTTATTTGGGGATTATCTTTGTCTTCAGTGATTATTGTTTTTACTCTGTCATTGTTCCGATATACTTATTTTTATTATTTTTGTTGATATTGTATGCTGTCCAGAATGTCCAGTGGATTGGGGAAAATTCTCATTATGTTTAAACAAATACATTATTTTTTTCTTTTTATCTCAAGGATGAAATTATGCTTCTGAGCTAGCTTCCTACAATATTTGGCGCTGGAAGAAATCTCTGTCCTCTATCTTGCACCAACTGGAGAAATTTAACTTAACAGGTAAGTAAAAAAAACATATCAACATCAAAGAGGCTATAAAATCAATTAGTAAAGCTAACTACCACTCTGAAAATGTATTAAATAAAAAACATTTTAAAAGTTTGAAAATCTTAATACTACAGTCAATTGTTTCACATTAGAAATCCATCCATTAGCAAGAAGGGAATAGTTTTAATGACAATTTTACCATTTTCTAGAAGCAGTCTTAAAAAGGTATTTTAAAAATATGATTTTGTTTTATTTATATTCCCCTATATGATTTTGTTTTATTTACATTTCTATATACATATGGTGTTGTCTAATGATTATTTGAGCTATTTTTCTGCTTTAAAAATCTGCTTCAGTGGTTTAGCAAAATTGTCAGAACTCACTGCACTCTTAACAGTCAACCAATCAACCATCCAAACAGGCACAAAAAAAAAATTCTACTTGTAATGGAAGAGTTGCATGACAATTTCTCTCTGGTAAGGACAGAGTTGTCAGCACTGAAAAATCCACTGTGACCCGTTTTTTCTTGGATGATAAATAGCGCTCTTCTATTCCACTTTTATACACTGCAGATGAAGAATGCCTCCTGAGCGGTTTTTCCCTCTGCCACAAGGCAGATCAAGGAGAAAATTGATTAAACCATTGTTTTCTTAGCGTACAAGAATTAAGTCCTAATGCTAAAAGTAAAATGCCAATTAAAGGATAAATGTATATTGTATTATATCAACCAAATTATGCTTAGGCAATCAATCTGTAATATTTAATTACTAAATTTGTGCCACTGAAGACTTAATAAATGTTTTATTTAAAAGGTAAACTACTATGCTGACACTTTTTAAACATATTGTTCCTCTTGCAAGGTTTTTAGAATTAAGACATAAATATGCCACACACACAAACTGAAGGGATTGGCTGCAATATATTGTAAATGTGGTATTTTTCCCACTGAAAAATTACTTAAATTTGTGTAAGACTGTGTAACTGTAGCATACACAGCATCTTATTTATGACAGAAATGAAACAGCCTTTCTCCTTGGCAGAAACAATTTATTTATTTAATTATTTCAATCTAAATGGCCACCCATTTATTTATTAAATTTAGATTCTGCCCATCTCACTCACAGAGTGACTTTGGACATCTAACAAGGTTAAAAGTAAATGTAAAAAACGGGGGAAAGCCCAACACACATAGAAACAGCAGCTGAGTTAACAACAGACCTATCAGTCAGAAGTCAACATAACCAATGTACAGGGCAGCTCAGCCATCCCTCCTGGCTTCCCAATTCAATGACAAATCCTTGTCTGTATGAAAGGCTGACTGTCCTGACATTTGTAATAGAATAAGAAGATGCTGTATATTTTATTAATACATACAAATACATTAAAAGTTCATACCTTGTCTAGTGAATTGTTCTTTTCACCATGTTTTTCTGGGAGACTATTTCCAGAGTCTGTACTTATAAGAGAGCCTCTAGAATCTGCATTCCTCACATAATTAACATTAGGAGTGGAACAAGTATATGGGGATGCTGAATAATGAAATATACACAAAAGGGATGTGTTACAGTCTCAACTGATAAAGAAAAATATTCTAGACAAACAGAAAACCCAAAAACAATTTTTATCACTGTGATGTATTTTCTACCATCTCCTGTATCCAGTCTGGCAATACCCACTTTTATTGGAAGGCTTAACTTACTTTTACCTCATCCCACAAGATTTACTTGACTTAAAATTTCCCTCAATCATACACCAACTCAGGGATAAAAGGTTGCCCTATGCCTATGTCTATGTATGTTGAAATGGGGGTGAGGTGAGTATCAGGGTTGTATTTAATACTAAGGATAAAAATGAATAACACTGGGATTATCAATGGGAGAAATAGAACCTCATAATGACATGGCTCCATTTTCAGTAATGGAAGTTATTACTTCATATTTATTTTAGAACTTGAAATGAAATAGTTCTATGTCCCGTTTTAGTCCTGTAAAGAGCCAAATGTGGCCCTAGTCAAAAGCTTTACAGCAATATGAGAACTTAAGATGTCACATCCCAACTTCAGTCATTATAAATATTGATTTTATTTCTCATAAGCATGTATGTTGCAAATCACTAAATTCTGTATATGGTTACCAATGCCTGATATAGCACCAAACAAATCTTTCTGGAGACTGCTGTCAAGAGCATTCACAGATTTTTGTGGAGTCATCAATGGATTTGCAGTTGGTAAATTAAGTGATTCATCCTTTGCATTCTGTTAAAAAGATGCAAAATATTTTTTCATTCTTTGATGTTTAATTTTTATATTAAAGAGATATTTATACACTGAGATTTATGACAGTTTTATAAAAAAAATAAGCTTACACTGCTAGGAGCATTGACAGGGAAGGGTGAAATATCCTTGACATCAATTCGATGAACGTTTTCTATCAGTAGACCAAATATTGGCAGATACAAGGTCGCTATCCTTGCTTGATGACTCTGTAAAAGAATATTTAAGTTCATTATTAAACCAAAATAAAAATACATTAAATGTCCACAAATTTAATCAGATGTCTTCCAGTTTTAAGTTGTTCATTTAGTTATAACCATCAGGGGTTTGACATTTAACACTGAAAGTCTACATTACTGCATAATTACCAGAGAAGGATTTTAAATTAGATTCATGGATGTTTTATCTCTATATATATTCCTTGATACCAGTAGCCAATCTGATTAAATGCTTTAAGAGGTCAACATATTTCCAATTCCTAACATCTGTGAACTTCAAGTAACTTGGAGTGCTGATTGATAGCATTTTCCAGATGTGGGAAAAAGAGTTGCTAATTATTCACTGGCCTGAGGAAAAGCAGTAGAATAATCCTATCCAAATTTAAATTTAAAGAGTACAGATAAAATTGTTTTTAGTATTCTTCTAGAGTAATTCACAAATTAAAGTTTACTCAATTATTGGGTTATTCTGTAAATAAATATTATATTGTCTGTTCATAATAAATTATTCTATAATATGAGAATCCATAAAAGCTGAAATTTCATGAGTAATGTCATTTTATTTTTTACTTACTTATTAAATTTATTTGTTGCCTATCTCACTGTTTGGGACTACTCTAGGAAGCTTACTTAATAAAAGTAATAAAAAGGAAGAAAAGAAAAGGAGTGCGAACAGAAGTATAAAAAAGCCCAAAAAAATAAACAATGACAGAGGAACACAATAATATATCAATATTATATTATTCATATTATTCCCTCTTCCCCAATTTCTATTGTCAAACAAAAATCATAAATATATGTATGCATATTAAAGAAAACAAATCAACAAATTATAAACGAACTGAATAATTTTCACCAATGTTCTATAGAATAAATCAGTATTCTCTAAATCCTGAAATCCTGAAATATTAGGGCCAATTTGATTGCTTTGTAAATGTGGTCTGATAATCTACTGTCTAAAATAAATGATTCAGTTTTAAATGAAAATTCCAGAAATGTATGATGCTTTGATTACTTTTCAGATATTTATATACCTCTGTAAATGTATAGGGCTACTCTTTTATTGTTGTATCTTGCCCTCCAGATGGCAATGCAGTAGAATGTTAAAACCAATCAGTTTTTTCCCCTTCACAGTACGGTATTATCAGTTTATCAATACTGGAAATAAATCAAGATGTTACAGGTTTAGAAAGATCTCCACAAGGAGAAGACCGAAAATATTTCAAGGTTTTGAATAGCATGACGTTTATTAGTTTGAAAAATTAATTTTTAAGAGCTGGGATTCTATTTCAAATGGAAAACACAGCAAATTTAGTCCTGTAAGAACTGATATCAGGCAAAAGATTTTTTTAATAGTCATTTCCAGAGGGAAAATTAAATAAGGGCACAAGAAGGGGTTTGGACACGGTGTAAGCCTCCTACTAAGTACAATGTTTAAATCACAGCAGTGCAGATCTACTTCTGTTTATGCAGTGAGTGGAGAAACCGATAGTGCCTAGAACATCTTTACCATTAAAGCACAACAGTATGTGAAGCCCTGGAATTTCTCTGAATTCTCAATGTAATTAGAATCTTCTGTACATAACTATATTAATAATTAACTGTACATAGTAAACATTCTGGCAATCTGCTTACCTTTAAAGCGTATCTGTCATCAAAAGAATGTTTTATCATTAGATTCTTCAAAACTCCAATTGCAATTTGTCGTATCTCTCTGAATTCTTGCAGTGCATTTCCCACCTCTCTGAGAAGCAGTCCCACCAAAAAGTGATGCTTGCAGAAGTCATCTGATAAGGAGTAGTCTAGCTGAAGATCTGAAATCAAGCATTACACAGTTTTATTTTATTTCTATGCTGGTCTTCCTCTTAGATGAATCCAGAAAGGCTGAATGGATATAAAAAAAGACTGAAAAATCTTCATAATAAATTCATCAATGCATACAAACCACAGACACTTAAACACATATGCACACAACCCATTTAAAAAATGACATAATTTTAGAATTAATTGATAGTTGTGGCTAGGAGGTCCTTCCCTCAACTTGGCGTTGTGTGCCAGTTACACCACTTGCATATATTATAAACCAGGAATATAAGAATCCCCAAAAGCTAGGTGTCCACAGATATATTTTCTTACAAACAGCTGAAGTTTGAATGTCTCTTCAGGTGGTGCCAAAGTGGAAATAAATAAGCAAATATTTTAAGGCTATTTCCCAATGCAGCACAAGAAACTGTTAAGATACAAAGGCTTGAAGCACATTGGATCAGAAAGAATTATTTGTGCACTTCTCCAGAACCAACTCAATCAGATCCAGATGAAATAAAAAAAGTAGAACTACTGTACTACTAGCTGGGGAGTCCAAGGGATATGGTCGCATGTGTGAAACCTGTAAAAAATTAGTGGAACTTCAATTACACCATTGTGGCTGTCGTGTTGACTTTTTTGAGCACACCCTGTGTTATCCCTGATTTCCAGGTTCTCTAGCAAATGCTACAGTAAAGAACATCCTGCGTTTTATTTTTTTCAGTTTATTGTGATATATTTATACATTTTCATTTTGTTTCCAGTGAAGGCTGATACATCATGTTTTAAATGTTCCTTTTTATAAATTCTAGCATGACTCAAACACGAAATTCCTGCATTTGCTCTTCTGTACACATTACTATCATTTCTAAAATTAAAGTTTATGATTGGGAAATACACTTCACACCTACCTCCAGGAATATCATATGACTCCACTGTAAAGAAAGCTAATTCAAAGAAAAAGAGAAGCAAAAATAGACAAAAACTAGCATGTTGTTGTTCACTCCCCTCATGCCTAACAAAGAAAGTAAGAAACTGAATTAAATATTAAATTACCTATGAATTTTTACTTTACCATTTATTACATACAGAACTGAAGCAGGAAGAATTTATTATTTAAATTAGAGTACAAAATTCCAATATATATTTCTTAAAATATGAAGAAATTTTAAAGGTAATTTTACTGTTTTAGGAATCTCAATTTAACTGTATCAAATATAAATTTACCTTGATATCTCTGAATCCTGCCTGTTCCAAATGGCATAGGAAGATTTAAAGGAATGTAGTGTTCATGATTACATACTGCTCGGAGAAATTCAAATTTGAATTCAAAAAGAGCCTATAAAATATGTTGAAGTTATAAGTTATGGTCTATTAGAATTAACATGTTAATCAAAAAAGGCAAGGAAATTAATCTTTAGATCACTGGGTCAATATCCTAAATATTAGCAAAGCAATGGCTATATGTACACAATACTCTTAAAGAATTTTATGGATATAGACACTTGCATATAAACACAATAATTATGGATTATTCATTTTCTATTTCTGCTGCAATTGCATAGATTGTGTACCAGGTATATTAACAGCAGCTTCTAATAATTTCTGAAACTAGTTCAAATCAAGTTATGAATACATTTTGCCATTTTATATATTGCCAGTGGATGGCAATATACAACAATATTTATCTTCTAACATAAAAAAACGAAAAATGCCTCATCAACTTAGCATTAGAAAAAGAATCAAGGCAATTTTGCAGAACTAGTATGCCACAATTTAGTCTCATTTATTACATTTTAACCCCTAACAGTCCAATTAATTAAATCTGATATAGATATGAATATGCCCAAAATATTCCCTAAACTAGGGGTCCCCAACCCCAAGGACCATGGCCTGTATGGGAACTGGGCTGTGCAAGTGTGCAAAACCATCCCCTCTCCCCCTCCTGCCGCCACTCTTGCCGCCGGTCTGCAGATCTAGAAAGGTTGGGGACTGCTGCCCGAAAGGAACTCCTAGATTGGGATGGTTGAGTTGTCTCCCTCTTTCTGATTAGTTTTTCCTTACATAAACTGAAATCCTGCACTCTGTGCGACTTCTCATGAATCTGGTAAAGTAAGGTGACTTGTATTGTAATAATCTCACTGCAGCTAATCATTTTGATCTATACATGTCATCTAGATCAGGATTCCCCCGATCTCTGAAGACCTGGCTCCACCATCTCGCTTGGGGCTCATAGGAGAGCACACAGCCATGAGGCTGGTTAGCACCCCGAAGTCCTACTCCACCTTTTAATTAATTTTTAATGTTGAAATTAACTATCCTTGCCTCTAATTTAAATTTTTATTTGATCTGATAAATAGTTTTCTGGATCTACGTTACATAGGAAAAATTTGCATATGACTGTATTGATGATATTCCTATCCAAGCTCATTTGTTAAAGTTTATTGAAAAGTTCTTAGATACCTAATTACACTCTCTTGAACTAACTGAAACTCAGCATGTTAATATAACCCTCCTATATTGAAGATAAGAGGCTCAATTCAATTATTGTTCAGTTACTGCATGCTGCAATAACTAAGAAGATTTTGGGTAGATTACATGTAGTCCTCAACTTATGACCCTCAATTGGCTCCAAAATTTCTGTTGCTAAATGAGACATTTGTTAAGTGAGTTTTGCCCCATTTTACGACCTTTCTTGCCACAATTATTAAGTGAAATCACTGCAGTTGTTAAGTTAGTAACACGGTTGTTAACTGAATCTTGCTTCCTCATTGACTTTGCTTGTTATAAGGTCTGAAAAAGTGATTGCATGACCCTGGGACACTGCAACTGTCATAAATATGAGTCAGTTGCCAAGAATCTGAATATTGATCACGTGACCATCGGGATGCTGCAATGGTCATAAGTGTAAAAAATGGTCATAATCACTTTTTTCAGTGCCGTTGTAACTTCAAATGTTTATTAAAGGAACTGTTGTAAATCGAGGACTACCTGTACACAAGAATCACTGCAATCTCATTAACATGAGCTTCTAAGAAGAACAAAACAACGATCTTTGAATTTACATTGAAAGTTCATATAAAGTTCATTATATTTTCCTAAACATAACAGGAAAATACTACCATTATCTCTCAATTCAAGAATTGTTTTTGTTGTATAGTACCTTTGGATCTCCTGGAGCAAAGAAGCTAATATAGTTGTTAATTTGCTTGAATATAAATCCTCTGTCCATAAAGGTGAAACATCGCTGCAAAGCAAAACAAAGCAATACAAAACAGTCACTGGCAGTTACATTTCTTTGATATTTGGAAAAGACAGCCTATGTGTTAAATTAGTCTAAAGTAGGAGTTCTCAACCCCGGGGCTGTGGCCCACTATTGGGCCATGACCTATTTGGAACTAGGATGTGCAAGCAGTGGGCTGGCGCACTCATGTGTGTGCAGCTCAACTTGCCCGAGTGGCAAACTGGCATGCACTCACAAGCACACACATGCACAGCTCAACTTGCACAGGTTGAGCTGTGCGCACTTGCACGCCGGTCCACCACTCACGTAACTTGAGCTGCGCGCACATGCGTGCCAGCCCGCCACTCTTGCAACCCAGTTCTCCTCTCCCTTGCCCAGCCAGGCTGCCAAGTTGCAAAGGTTGGGGACCGCTGGTCTAAAGGGCAAACAATAGCTAAATATTAGACCTTTTCACAATACATACATTTTAGATTTGTAAATCAAAATACTCTAGTTTGAATAATTCTATCAAATGACTTCAGTTTATCACCAGTTCAAGGCCACTCAGTGATAACTAATATTATTAAAAATAGAATGTATACGCTTGGATTAATGCAAAATGTTTCACTGATTATAGAAAAGCCTTCATTTGTATTGATCACATCAAGTTGTGGAAAGTGCTCAGAAAAACAAAACTCCAGAACATCATGAGAAACTTATAAACAGGTCAGGAACCCCTAGTACTTATAGAACATAGCAAAACAGACAGGCTTTGGGTTGGCAAAAAAATTCAGTAAGTGAAACAGACTCTCCTCTTATTTATTCAATCTATATGCAATATAGATTAAGGGAAGCTGGATTGGAAAAATATGAGCATAATTTTAAAATTGGACAAAGAAACATCAATAACCTTCACTATGCTGATGACACTTTCTAATAGTCAAAACTGCAAAGTATCTGCAAACCCTAGAACTAAAATTCAAAGACATGGGGGGGAAATGGGACTAATATAAATTCGACCAAAACTAATGACAAGAAGTAGAACAATCAACCTTAGAATTGACAATGAAGATATTGGAGAAATGAATCACTTCTGCGTTTTAGGATGAGCCTTCAACAGTAAAGGAACAAGAAGTCAAGAAATATGCCGCAGACTAGCACTTGGTAGAGCAGCCATGAAAACCCTGGAAAATATATTCAAACACCACGAGATAGGGAGAGTATTGATGCCTTTGAACTTTGGTGTTGGAGAAGACCTCTGAGGATACCACAGATAGCCAAGAAAACAAACTGATATATCATTGAACAAATCAACCCAGAGTTCTCACTCAGGGCACAAATGTCCAGTTCTCCCTTGAAATATAAATTGACCAGTTTCACTCGAGGCATAAAAGATTAAACGGGCTACTTTGGAAAACATTATGTGAAGACTTAGCTCTCTAAAGGAGGTTGTAATGCTGCAAAAATCAGCAGTAAGTTGGATGGACCCATTTACAGTGGTAGCATTGCAAGACCAGATTAGAACAGATCATTCTGCAGAAAATGTATATGTGTAATCACTAAGAGTCAATACTGGCTTGATGGCATATAATCAATCAATCAATTATACTTTGAAGGCTTAGCAGGGAAGCATTTTGATCATTTTTTACTATGTATTATTTATATTTTAAAATGGCATTGTGAGATTCTTGTAAGCTGTCTAATGTTGCAACACTGAGGCAGTATAGAAATTATTTCAATAAATAAATGCCCACAATATATCTGAACAATTCACAGCCATTTGGAAGAACTAATGAGGACATACATACAGTATACTTACTTTTATGAAGACAGCAAGACTATAGTTTGCATTCTTTGACGCTTCTGGGTTATCCTTATATTTTTGAGTAATGTGGGGCATCAGCATATTGACAACAGTTTCCACAGCATGATGAAATGATGCTGGAAATCGCTGATTTCTTAGCAACTAGAAACAGACAAATTAGAATTTACAAATGGGAACACTGCAAAATTATCCTGTTTATCCATAACATACTTAAGTATAAAGTTTTCAATTCTGAAACTTCAGCTACAAGAATTCAATGCTGTTGAAAAATATTGAAACACCTTTATCTAGATATCTATGAAGCTATAAGAAATACTCCTCAAAAATATTTATTCAACTAGTTTAGTGGAAGTAATAGTACTCATCACTTCTTGTAATGAAAAATTATAGAAAATAAGTACACTATCAAAAGAGTATTTGCAATTATAAACCAAAATCAATTTATAGATTATATTTCAATAAGAAAAATAGATATATAGATATGATTGTAATTAAACAGCTTTCCATTTGCAGCAGCTTTCTGCAACTTGTTGTCTGTAGAATATAATTCCCACTGTCCTAGACAGCACTCCCACTATTGTGTAGCCAGTAAATGGCAGTAGGGATTAGAGATAGAGAAAGACAGATCCATTTTTAAAGGTCAAAAATGAGTATCATAACTTCTTGAAATAGCAGATCATTTACCTTTACTTTAGCATTTTCCAGGAGGTGCTGGGCCATTGATTTGATCAAAATTTCAAAGAAAAACCAGGAATACTATTGAAGAAACAAAACAGTAAGTAAATTACCTTCTTTTTTTTATAAATAACTCAAGGCAGAGAACATATATGTAATACTCCTTCATCCTCAATTTTCCCCACAACAACAACAACCTTGTGAGGTCAGTTGGGTAGAGAAAAATGTCTGGCCCAAATTCACCAAGATGGCTTTAATGCCTAAGGTGGGACTACAACTCACGTATTCTACTGTATATAAGCAATACAAATATATTTATAGGTAATATTTTGTTTAGTATGTAAGAACAATATAAGCTATTCATTTATATCTATAAGTTATACAACTGTTATTGTCAATTATTACAATTATGAAGTGCTAAAATTCTTTTCAGATCTGAGAAACTCTTCAATTGATGATATAGACAAAATATAATTTCTCCTTACGTACCTTAAGCAGCTTGTTGCTTGTGAGGAAGTCAGTACATGGCTTCAAGATTGTTGTCATGGTTTTGGCAAGTTCTTCATGTACAGTTTTATATTCTGAAGCAATATAAGTTTCTCCTTTAAAAACGTACTTGGGATAAGAAAAATAAAAGAGCTTACATTATGCAAAAAATATTCAGAGTTATATTAATCAGGCAACTTTTAAACAAAGCACATTTATATATTTGATACCTTGACATAGGATCTCAAATAGCTATCCAATCCTTCTTCATGACACTGGGCAACCACATGGATAATAACCCTAAGTAAAATAAAGTTAACAATAAGATATCCTCACACTCTATAAATATTTTTAAAGTCAACAATTGGCACATTACAGGCAGTCCTCAACTTACAAGCCGTGGTGGCGCAGTGGTTAGAAGGCAGTGTTGGAAGCTAATTCTGCTGACTGCCAGGGGTTCGCCAGCTCAAGATTGACTCAGTCTTCCATCCTTCCGAGGTCAGTAAAATGAGGACCCAGATTGTTGGGGGCAATATGCTGACTCTGTAAACCGCTTAGAGCGGACTGTGAAGAGGTATATATGTCTAAATGCTATTGTTATTGCTACAACCACAATTGGGACAGGACTTTCCATTGAAAGTCATTGAGGTTATTGAGTTGGACCTAATTTTACAACAATTTTTACAGTGGTTGTTAAATGAGTCCAGCATCCCCAGAGCTTCCTGGAGGCAACTTCCCAGTATATGGGTGGTGGTGGTTGCTGTGTGATGAAGGAAAAGTTTCCTTATGAATAAGCCATAGAAGCAGAGTATGAGCGTCTACAAAGTCTGTGCTTGCTGAGCATAAAGGCTGCTCTGAAGAAAAGTCAGGTATGAGAGGTTGGAGAAGTTTAAGGGAAGTGTGCTTTGCCTAACTCCAGTTGGGAGGCCAGCTGTATACCTACCAGAAGCAAGAGGATCTCACCACAGAAACTCAAATCCTTATCATTATGTGCTTTGATCATTGCCAATGTAAGCTGCTCAAAAATGATGAATAGCTGTGTGTAGTTGAGTTTGCCTTCTCCTTCCCTCATGAGCCTTATTAAGGTGCTGGTTGGTGTAGGTTGTAATTTACTGTAACTTGCTAACAATATGTAGTACATAATAGTAGCTGTAGAACCCTGCAAATGTCCCATTTTATTATCTGTATTACCCATTTCTATTAACTTTGGGTGTAATTTAAAATATTGATCATTTCCTATAAAATCCTATGTGGTTTGGTTCCAAGTTATTTCTGGAGCCACTTCCTCCAACCCATATTGATTCACTTGAGCTATGTGTACTGGAAGAAACTTTGATTAATCCCATTTCCATGCAGTAGGGAGGGCAGAGGCTTGGAGGCATTAGTTTTCAGGGAAAGGGTATGTACTATAGAGTAGCTTCCCTTTAGATACTAGGTTGACTTTAACAGTATTAGTCTTCTGGACTCTAAAACAAGGTGAAACTCCAAAGAGTTTACATGAGGGGATAGAATGTCCATAACTGTTGCTTTTACCCTACATTAATAGTTTTATGGTTCTCTATGCGTCTGTTTTAGTCTTACCATGAATGTTTCCTTTTTGATTTTGTTATTGATACTTTTAATTATATTAAACTGCCAAGAATCTGGTCAATTATGTTGCATAAAATCTGGTAAAAAAAAATATGTTAAAACCCTTTTTACCTTGTCACATTCACTGCAACATCTTCCTGAGTTGCTCTTGTAAGAACTCTAAACAATTGGTTTAAAATAGTAGGTAGAAATGCTGTCATGACATGTCCCTCCATAGCGTGAAGGCTCTAGAATAAAAACAGTGACACAAATGGATTTTGTTTCTAACATACTTTTTGTCAAAACAAAGGGTCTACGGTTATAATTCTATTAAAACTTCACTTGAAGAAAATGAAGTTCTAACAAGACTGACACCAATGAGAATATTTTAAAAACAGAATACAAATTCGGTAAGATAAGCAAGCCAATTTCTATGTTATTTCATAGCTTGCCCAAAGAATCAAGACAGATAAGAACAGGTAAGATGAGAAAATACTGTTTTACAGACATACTTTTACTCAAGTGATAAAACCAAAAGAAAAGCACATGCTACTGTTCTATTCTAATATAAGTTGAAAGGCTGCTGAACATGTCACATTAAAATTATTGTTGGAATATTTTAAATTAATCTTTTAAACAAGGTTAATATGTCAGACATGTAATATACCCACTCCTTATTTAACAACAATCTTGGTTAGCAACCATTTGCAAATACAATGGTAGTCATAAATTTATTTTCTAACCAATGAGCATTTATGATCCAATTTTGTGTGCCTTACAACAATGCACGCTGTAGTGAGAGTAAAGCTAACATACCTGTACAACAGAACCTTATCTGAATGAAAGAGCAGCAAATAGTGATCTTTGCAGCATCTCTGTCTCTGTCTTTCTATCTCAAAGCTCCCTAATCTTTCTGGTTGGCAGCCTGGATGGAAAGGGAGGAGCAGGGAAATGTGCCCAATTTTAGTCATCTCATAACAATTTCATACCTTAAGATACTTCACAAGGTCAGCTCCTAAAGCTTGAGCACCAGACATAGTTTTTTGACAGTAATGGAAGAAATTGTTTAAATGCTGGTCCTAGTAAAAGAAGAGTAAACAATTAATATGATATCACTACTTCCATTTAAAAAGATCAATATAGATATGGGGAAAATGTTTTGACTTTCAAGAACTCAACAAAATTGAGAAGCTAAAGGAACGTGTCCTTCCCTGTTGAGTTCTCATACATCATGTAACAATACAACTTTATTAATTTCAATTAGGTATCATTTATTGCTCGAGCCTTTATTATTCTTGTACAAAGTGTTTGGAAGTTTTCATTTTTCTAATATTTCAAACACCAAAAATGTTAAAATATGCATACAAAAACCAATTCCTCACTTTGGATTTTCAATAAGTATATCGTAACTACAAATTGAACCTCTGAAATGTACATTAGAGTTTTCTATTTCTATTCATTACTTGGTAAATATTGTATATGATCTGATTCCAAAGGTTTGCACCAATTCAAAAGTTTGGTTCAAATTTCCTTCTTATCGCTCTTCCACAGGCCCAAGCTAATAAGATTTTGAACATTTTATGCCTGTAATTCATTATTTTATTTTAAAAAGGCTGTGTCTAATTATGATTTAGTACTAATAAAAAGCATCCTCTTGCATATAACCTGCAATGAGTTCCTCCCTTCAACATACCAAATTGATACTTGCTTGAAAATCTCGTTTTCGGGGAAGTAGGGTGCAAGAAAAACCAGGGAAGCCTAGAGCAAAACATGCTCTCTTGCTCCTCCCTTTGTATTTTCTTACTCACACAAGGTCCCATTACATAAAACTCATAATTTTAATTTTGAAATGTGTTGGACAGATGTGACAGATTTGTTTATCCCATGACCTTTCCCCAGAAAGTCAGAGTATTGTCCTCATCTTGTGCTAATCTAAAACCCAACACAAAGACAGGAAAATCTGCTATATATTCTTTCCAACTCTGCACTTGCAGAACTGATGCTTTTATCCTAGTTGGAATCCTGTCAGGTACAGAGGAGAGGCTATATGAGTTTACCTCTTTTTACTTCCCTTTCCTACACTTAGGTATAGATTCATAAACTTCCTTTCTG